CACCTTCCCACCCCCCACTGCCATAGTCCATGTCCTGCATGTCACCTACTGAGAGGGACACATGGGATTAGTAGCATTTTCACAAATCCGAGAAAGAACAGAAGTTACCCAGTGTCACCAAATCAAAACTGAGTTCGTTCCTTTAATTAGAGATGTGATTCCAGATACAAAAGTGGTGGCAAAGCATTATTCACCCTGATGTCCACAGTACTGAAGGGTATTTTTTGCCTTGTTCTGCCTTTTCCACTGAATGATAACATTAATTAAGCCAAAGACATGTGTTAGAAAGAATAAAAATGAAAGAATGAGCTAGAGGTGAGGTTTAGGAAATGCTATCTTTGCCTGTTGGGGTGCAACTCTAACTGGCTTCATTCTTTGCTATGTTTAACTTCATCTGGCAATGTTGCTTCATCTTAGATCGCTGTTGCCAAAGAGGCATGTCCCAGCTCTACTTCCTGTGTCCAAAACACGAAAGAATAAAAAAGTCTTTTGTTCTTAGACTGGAATTTTAGCTCTATACTTTTGCTTTCCTTCCCTCTACCTAAATCCTAACCCTATCTTTCAAACCTCTCCCAGCAGCTCCAGCTAACACAGACCTCACCCTTTATCAACCATCTATAGTCCTTACAGTCTGCTCCATACCTGGGTCACTCCATATATTCAGCTTTATCATAGATAACGTTCAGTTTGGACCACTCTGTCCTTAAAACCCTCCCTTCAGAGCTCTTACCTGCCTGAAATGGATAAAAAAATTATACTGCATGGGCACATGAAGAGTAACATCAAGTAAAAATATAATTCTTCTTGATCGCTACGATGCAAATAATCACACAATCTAGATAGGCAGATCAAACTGTTTGTTGTACACTGATTTATTTCTGGGGATTTTTTTTTTGGTTATTTTTTTCCTCCTTTCTCTATTCCTTTTAGAGAGGGGTGATGACAAGACAGACAATTATTAAAACGTAATTTAGCATTCCAGCTCTGCTGGCTTTAAGGCATTCCCTGAGCCGCCTAACGGTATTCTGCCTAAGCCATGTTTCCTCCCCTAAAATACTGAGCATCTGTAATGCAATCTCAAAGCCTGAAAAAACAAAAAGGCAACAAAATTAAAAATTAGAAATTAATTCAATTCTCTGCAGTTCGTGGGAATAACAGAATTTCTACCAGGGGTTTGATATTTTCTTGCCTGAGTTTCTAGGTTGCACAAAAGCTCACGGGCCACATACCACTTCCCTCTCTCTCCAGCAGCAGGACCTGCAGGTGGATGCAGGAGAAAAAGGAAGAACATGGCTTCCAGGGCCATCACGTGTCCACGGCTGCACACAAAAGCAACTTGGGAGACATGTTTTCTCTCCCTGGTACCTAGATTATCCTGTTAAGTGTCCTTTCCCAACTGGAAAAAGAAAATCTAATATCTCTGAGAAGATAAGTAACAGAGATGTCCAAAAGCACTGTAACAGAATCTTAAACCTGGCACTTTCAGTAAATTTGGTTCTACTCTGAAGGCTGAGTTGTATCCCCAGAGGATGATAAATATTGTTATCATTGCCTCGTGTTATACACAGGAGTCTAGTTGAAAGCCGTGGTGCATTAGGTAGACTCTCCAGAGGATGGCCGGCAACTGCTACGGAGACGCTCACAATGTTTCATTGGGTTATGGGGTGAGGGTTAGGCAGGGGTCTTCACTCAACACCGGCAGGGGTGCCCTGCCCGTACTTCCCCATAAGATCATGCTTTTGCAATCTGGGGGTGAACCCCAGCTCTACCACCTGGTAATACCTGTGCTGCCGGGAGAAGTTACTTGACCTCACAAAGTTTCAGTGTCCTCATCTAAGAAAATGAAGGCTTGGAGATGCTTGGGTGGCTCAGTCATTAAGTGCCTGCCTTCGGTTCAGGTCATGATCCCAGGGTCCTGGGATCGAACCCCACATCGGGCTCCCTGCTCCGCAGGAAGCCTGCTTCTCTCTCTCCCACTCCCCCTGCTTGTGTTCCTGCTCTCGCTGTGTCTCTGTCAAATAAATAAATAAAATCTTAAAAAAAAAAAAAAGAAAATGGAAGCTGTTCTCAGTGTTAAATCAAATAAGATATGTTCAGTGCTTAGCAAGTACCTAGTATAGAGTAAGTACTTGATAAATGATAGCAATTATATCCTCAGCACCAAACATTTAAGTCCATGCCCAAATTCCCTCTATGTGTTCTCAAATGGAGTGTTCATCAACAGCCCACAGCCAGGAGGGAACCCAGCCTACACGCAACACCATCAACAAGGAGTCTCTCTCTCCTTCTCTTCCTCTCAGGGTCTCTCTTAATTTGATAAGCCGGAACCTTCTAAGGGAATCCATTCTCTTAGGGAGTGGTTTGGGCTGGAAAATCTTAATCTTGAATTCTTATCTCTTCGCCACTTCCCACCCCCCAATCCTCCCACTAGATATTTAGAACTCCTTGTAAACTTCACAGGATCGAGATGTATTGAGATCTGTAGGAGGTGTTGGAGGAAAAGGGGGGACTGGGATGTTAAAAATCAGGGCAACAAAAATACCTATGATGTCATTCACCCTGACTTCTGAACCACGAGCAGCAGCCTTTCAACTGGGCTGGTGTTACATTTCACCTCTCCCAGCCTGTGTTATCACTTACCGCCAAATGGAGGCCTCAGAGGGTCTTCCATTAGAGCGATCCTCACTCCTTCCCCACCTCCCCACAGCCTTATCTCTCCCTCCTTCTCTGACTTTTAGCGTAGTCAATTAAACCTGAACAACTGGTGGATGGAGGAAATATGCTGCATCTATGGAATGGTACAGCAGGGACCAGTTTCACTGTTAATTTAAAATGCTAGAATTAATTAGGTAGTGTAAATGAAGAATTTAATAAGCGCTCTTTACAACCACAAGTTCTACTTTTATTAAACACTGCTACCAAATGAGGGCAAATATCCCTGGTCTCTCTATATTTCTTTGCCTCATTCCCATAAGTTCTCTGCAAATAAAAATTTTTTTTGCCTGGAATTTAACAAATGCATAATTATAAATTTATGCCTGAATTATATTTCTGCTTTCAACCCATAAGCTTCTTCTTTAAGCTCAGATGCTACTGTATGTCTCTGCTTGTGCTGGAGAGGGTGCTAAACAAACCAAAGTTGACAATTTTGGTTTTGTATACCAAATTAAAGGCTGTCTTCGAAGCTGTCACTCCTATTCAAATCCACTCGGTGAACTACCAAATTAGCATTCTTTCAGTAAAGGAATCTGCTTGTTTAAACATGTGTCTTTAGAAAACAAGGAACAACACCATGAATCAGTACTTTTCAAAAATCTCACTACAGTTCTAAGGGAATTCTTTTGAAAAGGTGATTAATAATATTCACTAATATAGCTGGCAGAGTCCCTATTTAGAAGGTAAGGATCCACCAAAAATACATTTTCTATACAGGAGTGGGAGGAAGAATCATATGGTTAACTGGTTTTAATTTTGTTTGAATTATCATCCTATTATATAAAGATTATTCAGAAATCTAAACATTGGCTTCCTGAGAGTGCAGGCAATTCTGTTAAAGGATGGATGATCCAGCGCCCTCAGATAAGATCATCAAAGTCCTGGCCCCATTTGGGGACCTTGATAAAATTTCTCTGTCCAGCCGTGCTCCTTGTAACACACTACCTGTATCTGTAATAATAACATCTCCCATGTACTGAGAGACCACTAGGTGCTAGGCACTATGCTAGGCATTATGCTAGGCAGTACTGTACATATATCCAGGCTCTCATTTCATCCTCCCAGTAAGCCCTTTGAGATAAATATTCTTTTCCAACTTTATAGGTGAGGAAATTATGTTTGGAGGGTTGACTTTTTATTTTCAACCGTCATTTTAGTTTTATGATTTTGCAAAGTGTTTAATTTATATGGGAGACAGATTTACACGTGAGGTGGAAGAACTGGAGAACACATACAGCGACATGCATACAGGTACACTGGATTCCCCTACTGAAAATCAAGATGATGGATCTTCCTATTTTAATGATAGGGTTTCCTTTTCTAATATAGACCAGTTGCTTGTCTCTTAAACTTCCCAGCAAAAGGGAAACAAAAGTCAATCCTGAAAAAATGCCAGATACTCAGCTGAGTACGCATGATTTCAGGAGCCGAGGGCCGCAGCACAGCCAGCAGCTGCCTTGCCATCGTGAGGTAGCCCAGCCGTTTTCTGAGGAAATATGCTCACTTCCAAAAAGATTGCAGGGAAACTTTACCCCAGAGAATTAGAGTGTCTGGCAAACGTTAGGTCCTCAACAAATGGTTGTCGATTCGGAAAAAATTAGAAGCTAAAAATTTCAAGTGTTGAAGTTGTTTGGGTATTGATTTACTCTCAAGTAAAACATCTCTGGCTTCTCAAAAAGTATCTTCAAAAACAAAATAAAACGAAATGAAGTAAAATACCTCAACTGCAGATCCTCATTAAACTTCTCCTTTCTACTGCGGCGTAGTTTTATTCCAGAAGAATATGCTATCCTTAGAGCCTATTTCTCCCCAGGGACAATGGGCAGTTGGGAACACCTTCCAAAGTCCACAATGGCCCCCCTTGAAACCACTATCTCAGACACATGGAAGAACACTGGACACACGCAAACCAAATGCTTGAGAAGAAAGGAAGAGATAAAAACTAGTGTGGAGTACAGACAGGGAGGGCAGAGGGCAAAACGGAGAACTATAGAACAAAGGGCAGGGGTGGCTGATGGAGAATAAAAGGGGATCCAACTGAAGGGTTATTTCACAAAAAGTAAAGCCCAAGGAAGCTCCAACATCCTCATCTGCTTCCCAGTCCTCCCAATCTGCAATGTGGTTTTATGTAGAGTACACACATGGGTGCCATCCTCAAATGCAGGATACACACTGCAGACACTCAGATGCATTCACTGTCTGTGTGCATTTCTGCTAAGGTCTGTACATCTAATGGAACAAGGTAGCTGCTAATCCTAAGCCTAGAATATTGAAGAAGAGCATACCTGTAATTTTGTCTCTCACGAGTTTGCAGGATTCTATTTCACCAATGCTCCCAAAGAGACTCCTGAATTCCTCCTGGGTCATGTTCTGGGGTAAATAGTTGACTATGAGGTTGGTTTTGCTGTCATCTGTGGCTGCCCCTGTCTGCATGGGAGAAGGACAGTTTCTATTGTTGCTGGAGGGTCCATTGCTTGTATTGGATGTCGGGCCATTTGACACCTGTGGCTCCATGGTGCTAATTATCTAAATAAAAATAAAAATAATAAAATAAGCCTCCTGAAATCTTAAAGACACAAGTAAAGTCTTTTTCAAGATTTTGTTTTATTTTATGTTTTGAAAAGAAAGAGAACAAGATAAAGCAAGATGGAGCAAAAGAGACTGGGTTGTGAACACCGCCAATTTAGAAGCATGTTTTTCACCAAAATGTTAAACTCCCCTCGCTATTTTTAGGCCAGCCCATAGATTTTGAACACAGACTAGAATGCAGTGAGAACTCTCCCATTATTTTGTTAATGAAAAGCTAATTCCTGTTTTCATTACACAATCACTCTCAGAAATGTATACTTAAGCCACACCAAATTATAATTAAAATGTAAAGTAATAATCATGATTAAAATTATAGTTCCATTAAAGCTGAAAAACTAAATATAGAGGGTTATGCTCACAAGATCAAATACAGTACCTGTTTATTAACTATCTCACAAAGTAAAATGACATTAAATTAAGTGGGGCCGTTCCATATGGGAAGGGTTTAGATTTTCACTGATGCTTAAGCACTGATCAAACTTCAGATTTCATAAGCACATGTTGGGGAGCTACGAAGTCATCTAATGGTTTTTCTCCCTCGCCGCTCAGTGACTGTTTCTCCTGGACCTCTAATAAAAGAAAAAACATAAAGGAAGAGCTCTCTCTAGGCCTCTACCTTAGGTCCAGCACAGCCCGAGGCTATCCTCTCACACTATACTCAAAAAGTAAACAGTTTAAATTTAAATTAAATTTGGATTCAAATAGTTAATTAAACAAAGATTTCCACAAATGTGTGAATTGTTCCGGGCAGCATGCATGGGGAAAAAAGAGATGAATAAATCTCAGTCTCTACCCTCAAGGAGCTTAGAGTTTACTGAGGACACAGACTGGCAAATGGCTCCCAGGAGGACAGTGGGCATACAGTAGGGGAGGAATTAGCCCTTCTTCACAGGATGGGATTCAGGGAAAGTACTGAGAAGATGAAGCTGGAATACGTTCTACATGGAAAATGGATGTAAGCTCATGGAGCCTGGTTATGAAGAGGTCCTGTGTAGCATGACAAACACAGAGAATCACAAAACTGCAGAGCCAGAAGGCACTTAAGGAAATAAAATCTAGTTCAAAACTCTCATGTTTGAGATGAATTCCAGAAACATCCAGTGAATTCTGTCATCAATGGGAAACTGGAGCAGAGTCTGGGCCTGCACCCAGGTTTCCTGGCCCCAGATGGAGCCCACTTTTCTGCTCTATCCCATCACCATCTCTTACTTGTCCTTCATGATAGGACTTCCATCGCCTCTGACCTTGATCAATTCTTTGGAAATGGAATCATGCTCTGCCATTCACCAGCTGTGTGACCTTGGGGAACGGAAAGAAACTCTAGAAGCCTTAATTTTTCTTATTTGAAAAATGGGAACAATGCCACCTGCCTTGCAAGGTGGTGACATGAGGTATAGAAAACACCTGAATAGTGGTGGGAATGTAATTCACCATCATTGATATTTATTAAAGCCACTCTACCAATCCTCTGACGTGACTTCTCACTGAGTCCTCACAAGAAGGCAATATTCTCTACATCTCATAGACGTGGAAAGCAAGGTTTAGCAGACATCTGATAACTAGCAGCTTCCATTATTACCACCATTTGGCTGCTGAGAGAATTTTGGGGGGATAAGCACTTTCATATACATGTAGTAAAGCATGCAAACCTTACAAAGAGAACACAATTCACACCTGAGTAATCACCTTTCAGATCGTGATACAGAACATGACTAGCTTCCCAAAAGCCTTTCTTGTGCCCCTGCACACCACTCCCCAAAGGTAACTGACTTCTATTCCATAGATTAGTTTTATCTGCTTTTGAACTTTATATACATGGAATCACACAATATGTACTCTTTTATGTCTTTTCACACATTGTGTCTGGGTGTCATCCATGTCGTTAGATATAGTGGTAGGTTTTACTTGACTGCTGTAGAGAATTCCATTGTGAAATCATGAAAATATCACATTTTATTTACCTCTTCTGTTGGTAAACATTTCGGTTGTTTCTAGTTTTTAACTATTATAGATAATGCTGCTCTGAGCATTATGCACATGTCTCATGGTTTACATACACACACATTTCTGTTGGGAATATTCCTGGGAGTCTATTTTGGGGTCAGAGTATATGCATGTTCTGTGTAGTAGACACTGTCAGTATTTTTTATTTATTTATTTTTTAAGATTTTATTTATTTATTTGACAGAGAGAGACACAGCGAGAGAGGGAACACAAGCAGGGGGAGTGGGAAAGGGAGAAGCAGGCTTCCAGCCGAGCAGGGAGCCCGATGAGGGCCTCCATCCCAGGACCCTGGGATCATGACCTGAGCCGAAGGCAGACGCTTAACGACTGAGCCACCCAGGTGCCCCTGTCAGTATCTTTTTAAAATGGTGGTACCAACTTACACTCCCACCAGCTGAGTATCAAAGTCTCAGTTGCTGTACATCCTCATCAATACTCAGAGAATTTTTGGTTTTGTTTTGGTTTGGGTTTTTTTTTGCTTATTTTACACTGAAGCGTAAGTGATAAAGTAAAAAAGGAGTAAGTTCTTAGTCAAGGCAATAGCTGACTTAAGACTGTAGTTCTACCACTTATTAGCTATGTGATCTCAAGCAGGTCACTTCAATACTCAGCCTCAGTTTCCTCTTTGTGAACTGGAATAAAGCCTCACATGCAGGTTTATCTTCAGAATGAATGCCTGGAGGCATTACGACTATTATTCTTCATCATGCCCTACGTAGGTGTTACTTTGATTGTTTTCTTTTCTGAATGATCACAAATGGGAAATGAAACCAAAAGGAAAAAAAAAAGAAGTCTCAAGAGGAGTCAGGGAATAAGGCAGACTGAGGAAGGCGAGGAGCTTCTAAGATTCTTTACCATCATGTAAGTAACTTAAGTGGCTCCGCTTACCACATTATCAGAACTTCTTAGATTCAGGTCAACTCTGAGATTCTGGAAGGCTGGTCCAGAAAGCAAGGAGAAAACAAAGGGTTTCTGAGAAGAATCTTAAATCAAGCTCTTCTCAGCACTGATAGAAGCTGTACCCAAACAAAGCCTATTCAGCTGCTCTGTCCAGGAAAACATGAGGGAGATGTGCCCAAGGGAGGCACATGCTAATGGAGATGATGTCGTAGAGCATCATCACACCTCCTGGCTGGGAGGCAGGTTTCTACTCTGCCCAACTGTTGGGCATCCTGGGTGCGAGCAGTGTCTCCATTTGCTGTGTTGTCTCGCTGCTTCACTAAGTCAGGTGTCCAGGCAACAAACCCAAGGAGCACTGCCAACTTGATAAGGCACTTAAAAACAATTTATCCAGTTCAGGAGGCTGGGTTGGCAGAACCACAGGGCTACCCAACTGCTACCTTTTGACTTACTGGCAGACAAGCCAGTCCCACAATCTCAAGAACACATTCCCTGCTCTCCATCCTTCTTAAGGCTGCCCCACAAACACCTAGAAAATATCCTGCACTGAGGCAGCTTTTGGGACATTAATGATGGAGTATGAAGAAGAATGTAAATCATACCAAAGCATGCTGAGATTTTATGGGACCACGACTATTAAAGGTCACCCGAGAGCCGGGTTCATCTTTCATTCACCGGACACTCGCCTCACAGACGTGTGTGGTGAAAGCCAGCACTAGTCCATGCGAACATCTCACAGGTCTCCCTGCTCCAGAGAAGCCTAGGAAGTACCAAGTGCGCAGCAAAGTAATTTCAGTTCCCCAACCAGCTTTCTGATCTCCTTACATCTTATGTAGATTTCCTAAATTATCCTGGATGGAGTTGACCCCATCTGTAGGTCAGACAACCCTAATTAGGCCCAAACCTCTGAAAAGGATCCACGAGATGCAGTGTTTGGTACTGAGCTACTTCAACCGACCAAATCTATAAATTAGATCAAGTCATTCTTGGCTTATGGAAATGGAGCACTCTTTGCTCTGCACACACACTACACAGTTCTTGTTTGGTGTATTCAGAAAGAACTGATGAAAATACACACATGCACACAGAGTTTGCTCAACAGAAATGTACTAAAGCTGAGAAACACTTGTAAATGTGTTAATACACATCATGTAATAAGACCCCTCATTGGTCTTAATGATGCATCCCAGGATACAAGACAGGCTTAAAAAAAGAATCACAAATATAAAATGTCAGAATGAAATCTGACACACAAGTGAATCACACAAGTGATATCTAAAGATATCAAACTCAAGAATATGAAACTATAATACTTTAAGGTTACATGATACATCTTAAAGAGAGGTCACCTGTAATCTCAATGTGGGAAACAAACCAGGGGTAAACATGTGTGTTAGCGGGAAGCATATCCTCCAATAAGCACAGAGGCTGGCTCAGCAAGATCAGAACACTTCCTTCTCCAGGCCTTTGATATTCTAACAGCACAATTTTCATTGCAAATAAATATATCAGTTACTCAAGTGTGCCTATGTACTTTCATGAAACCGTCTGTGTGGGTCACATGGCCAACTTTGTAGCTGACCAGGTTCCAAACTCCTGACTTGCCCTCCTTCCCTCTTCTGAATGGCAATTAAGAACAGAATTACAGTGAGCATCCAGGATAGAGCATTGAGGAGGTTCAGTTGACGTCAAACTCTAATGGTTGTACAAAGCACTGCATTAAATCTTTTATGTTTCTGTGATATATTTTAAGAAACATTATACAGGCAGAAAATTTCAGGGATAAACCAATAGAGCAGTGCACAATAACGTAGGCACTCACATCCTGTCATTGTAAATGTCAATGGTTTGAATGACTAATTACTCACACTCAACGCATTAACCTCACCCCTCCCACCATTTTTTTTTTCCAGCAAAATATACAACAAAAGCAAGAGGGAAGGCCTCACACATGCAGCTGCTGGATCACCACTCAGGGTCATATCTTTGTGGAGGGAGGGAAGAAGCAGAGGCTGGGTTCAGCCTCTTTCTCA